CTCTCTATATATATATATATATATATATATATATATATATATATATATATATATATATATATATATATATATATATATATATATATCACTTTTTACTACTCACTAGCTTTCGGACATGTTTTTATTTATTTATTAAAAATCATTCACGTACCCAAACTATACTGATCCGAGATGATGGGGGATTTGGTCAGACACCTATTTGTCTATAAAATTATCGAAATAAATACATCAAGGAGGACATAAACCTTAACCTCCAGAATAACATAAAAAATGAGAGAACTTATTCTTATACAAAAATTAATAATAATAATAATAATAATAATAATAATAATAATAATAATAATAATAATAATATTAGGGACCAAGCATAAGACAAGACGATGTACGAAACCCATTAGGGAATACTCAAGGGAACGAGATCAGATCTGACGACTAGCAATTCCCATTTTTAATCAACAATAAGCTGCAGTGCTAAGTGTTTCAAATTAACCAACCAAAATGAAATTTGAAACACCAAATCTTGGATATTTTTCCTAATTTTCTATCTCTACTTAATTAGTGATAAAGTTAATCTCAATTGCCCCTATTAATTAGATACTGCAAGCCCAACGTTGCAGACCTTAGCTTGCTGAGTTGCAGCAGCTATAAGTCCCGTCGCTATTCTCAGCGTATGAATCATGATCACTTTTGCTACCGGCATGATGAACTATGGGACAAAAGCGTATTATGCTTGTGTAGGGTTAAGTCAGGCTAGAGATTCTCTTTAACGCAGTATAATACTGCTCGTTTTAAGTCAAGTCTGTATTTTTTTTTTCCCCAAATTAAAAAAATGCCATAACACGAATAGTATTCGTATACTGTTATATTATTATCTGTAGAACCCATTTAAATAAATAAAATAAAGAAAAAGAGAAAGCTGGCGACAAGTTGCAACCAAAAAAAGCAAAACAAAAGTTGGCAACAAGTTGAAATGGAATAAGTTGATATGGACGATAACAAGATGGCAATTTGCAAATCTGCAAATTGCAACGAATGGATTTGATTGGCTTAGTGAGTGAGAGTAATATTGTAGTGAGGTGTTTAAAATAAAAAGTGTTATTTCTTTCAAAGTTGTAGTAGTCTCTTGACACTACTAAGTTGTAATATTATAGTGGTAATATTGCTTCGCTGGGATATTGTATTTTATCCCGTTAAAATATTTGGTGTCGTTGTTACTCTCTTGTGTTATTGTTATTTACCGTAGATATTATTCCTGGGCGGGATTATTATTTATTATCCCAACAACGTGGTATCAGAGCCATGGTAAATAATAGTCCGCTGTCTTTTCAGTATCCCCGTCTCACAAAAGATAATTATGAGAAATGGCGCCTACGTATGAAAGTCATTCTTGGCTCCCAGGATGTGTGAGAAATCGTAGATAGAGGGTATGCAAAACCGATAATGAGGAAGCTCTGCCTCAAAATGAAAAAGATGTCTTGGCAAAGACAAGGAAGAAGGATCAACAAGCCCTCACGCTCATCCACCAATGTTTGGATGATGCCATGTTTGAGAAGGTGGCAGATGCTACCACCTCAAAGGAAGCTTGGGAGATTTTACAAAATTCTCTTCAAGGAGTTGACAAGGTGAGGAAGGTAAAACTTCAAACTCTAACGGCTGATTTTGAAGTTTTAAAAATGAAAGAATCCGAATGCATTTCGGATTATTGTTCAAAAGTGAAGGCTGTTGTGAATCAATTAAGAAGATACGGGGAGGACATAGAAGATGTCCGTGTGGTAGAAAAGATCCTTCGCACTTTAACACCTAAATTTGATTTTGTGGCGTGTGCTATTAAGGAGTCTAAAGATTTAGACTCTATGATGGTGGAGCAATTGGAGGGTTCTTTACAAGCCCACGAAGAAAATATCAAAAGGAGACAAAAAGTACCACTGGAGCAACTTCTTAAAACTCAGGCATCCTTCAAGGATTATGGAGGTGAAAAGAGCTATCGAGGGAATGGAGGGGGACAAGGCCGTGGCGGTCATGGACGAGGAAAAAGTAACGGTAACAATTTCAACAATGAAGCTAAAATCCACCAAACATTCAAAGGTCGTGGTCATGGACATAGAGGAGGAAGAGGACGTGGCTACTATCAAGAAAATAATGGACAAAGGTATGACAAATCAAAACTTGAGTGCTATAATTGTCATAAATTTGGCCATTACTCTTGGGAATGTTGTAGCAATGTTGAAGAGACAGCTAACCTTGTTGACGACAAGAAAGAAGAAGATGAGTCAACGTTATTGCTGGCACTCAAGGAAGAAGACAGGGATGATTGCAGCTCGTGGTATTTGGACAATGGAGCAAGCAATCATATGTGTGGATGCAACGAAAAGTTTGTGGAGATCAATAAAATGGTGAGAGGTAATGTGTCCTTTGGAGATACCTCAAAGATTCAAATCGAAGGGATAGGTACGATTCTGATCTCCTGTAAAGATGGTAGTCACAAGCTAATTCAAGATGTTTATTATGTGCCAAAATTAAAAAGTAATATTTTGAGTTTGGGCCAACTTCTTGAAAAGGAATATGACATCCACATGAAAAATATGCATCTTTGGCTTAGAGATTCAAGTGGAATTCTAATTGCTAAAGTACATATGGCAAAGAATAGATTATTTTCTCTGAATCTTAAAACAATTGATGCAAAGTGTTTGAAGGCTAATGTGCAAGATGAATCGTGGTGTTGGCATATGCGATTTGGGCACTTGAATTTTGAAGCGCTCAAATCAATGGGAGAAAAGAACATGGTACATGGGATACCATCAATCAACCATCCCAATCAATTGTGTGAAGCTTGTCTTCTTGGAAAACATGCAAGGAGGAGTTTTCCAAAGGAGGCCATGTCAAGATCAACCAAGCCGCTCCAGCTTGTTCACACTGATGTGTGTGGACCAATCAATCCACCTTCTTTTGGTAAAAGTAGATATTTTCTGCTTTTCATTGATGACTTTAGTAGAAAGACTTGGGTTTATTTCTTGAACCAAAAATCTGAAGCTTTTGCTGCTTTTAAAAATTTCAAAGTACTTGTGGAGAAAGAAAGTGGCTATGAAATTAAAGCTCTAAGGTCCGATAGAGGAGGCGAATTCACTTCAAACGAATTTAATGACTTTTGTCAGTCTCATGGAATTCGTCGCCCTCTAATGGTACCTTATTCACCCCAACAAAATGGAGTTGCAGAGAGAAAGAATCGAACGATTCTTAATATGGCACGATGTATGTTGAAAGCTAAAAGTATGCCCAAGGAATTTTGGGCCGAAGCTGTTTCTTGTGCAGTTTATTTGAACAACAGGTCTCCAACAAGGAATGTTAGAGATCAAACCCCTCAAGAAGCATGGAGTGGAAGAAAACCAAGTGTCAAACACTTGAGAATCTTTGGGAGCATAGCATATGCTCACGTGCCACAGCAAGGGAGAGCGAAGCTTGACGATCGAAGTGTCAAGCATGTGTTTGTTGGCTATGATGCGAGTTCAAAAGGCTATAAGTTATACAACCCAAGCAGCGGTAAGGTGGTGGTAAGTCGCGATGTTGAATTTGATGAAGAATTGGCATGGGATTGGGAAGCTCAGGAAGAAACTTCATATGATTTTCTTCCATATTTTGGTGATGAAGAAGAACCAGAGACCGTGGAACCTATGCAGGATACAACTCCACCTCCTTCTCCAACCAATGTTGCATCTCCCTCTTCTCAAGAAAGTTCAAACGAACAACCGCAAAGGACAAGGAGTATTCAAGAGCTCTATGAGGACACAGAAGAAGTTACTAATTTTGATTTTTTATGTTGTCTCTTTGCTGACAGTGAACCAATGAACTTTGATGAAGCTGTTACAAACAAAAAGTGGAGACAAGCCATGGATGAGGAGATTGAGTCAATAGAGAAGAACAACACTTGGGAGTTAACAACTCTTCCCAAGGGTCATCGAGCAATTGGAGTGAAATGGGTATACAAAATAAAGAAGAATGCTGATGGAGATGTGGAGAAATACAAGGCACGACTTGTGGCTAAAGGCTACAAGCAAAGGCAAGGCATTGACTATGAAGAGGTCTATGCACCTGTTGCCCGCATGGAGACGATTCGTTTGCTGATCTCTTTGGCAGCGCAAATGAAGTGGAAGATCCATCAGCTAGATGTCAAGTCAGGCTTCTTGAATGGCTATCTTGAAGAAGAAGTCTATGTTGAACAGCCATTGGGCTTCGTGGTCAAAAACCATGAAGATAAAGTGTTGCGGTTGAAGAAAGCTTTATATGGATTAAAGCAAGCCCCACGAGCATGGAATAGTTGCATCGACAAATATTTTCAAGACAATGGGTTTACTCGTTGTCTCCATGAATATGCTCTTTACCTTAAAGTTCATACTAATGGAGATATCTTACTTGTTTGTCTTTATGTTGATGATCTTATTTTCACGGGCAATAACCCAAGTTTGTTTGAAGCTTTTAAGAAAGATATGTCCCGTGAGTTTGAGATGACAGGCGTAGGGCTCATGTCATACTACCTGGGCCTAGAAGTGAAGCAGATGGAGGATGGAATTTTTTATCTCTCAAGAAAGCTATACAAAAAGAGATATTGAAGAAGTTCAACATGCTCGAGTGCAACCCCGTGAACAAACCGATGGAGAGTGGGACAAAATTGTCCAAGTTTGATGAAGGAGAAAAGGTGGATCCCACATTTTTCAAAAGTCTTGTGGGAAGTTTGAGGTACTTGACTTGTACCAGGCCAGATATACTCTTTGCAGTTGGAGTAGTAAGCCGCTTCATGGAAGCTCCTACCTCCACTCATTTGAAAGTCACTAGAAGAATTCTTCGTTACCTAAAAGGTACTATTGACTTTGGGTTATTTTATTCTTTTTCTAGTGATTTCAACCTTATGGGATATTGTGATAGTGATTATGCGGGAGATATTAATGATAGAAAAAGCATAACTGGTTTTGTATTTTTCTTGGGTGATTTTGTTATTTGTTGGAATTCAAAGAAACAATCAATTGTTACTCTCTCGACTTGTGAAGCTGAATATATAGCAGCAACATCTTGTACGTGTCATGCTATATGGCTGAGAAGATTATTGAAGGAGCTCAATTTGCCACAAATTGAAGCTACAGAGATTTGTATTGACAACAAATCCGCACAAGCACTCGCGAAGAATCCAGTGTATCATGATCGAAGCAAGCATATAGATACAAGGTATCACTTTATCAGAGAATGCATTGCCAAGAAGGAAGTCAAGCTCAAATATGTGAAGTCTCGTGATCAAGCTGCGGATATCTTTACAAAGCCTCTCAAGTTTGAAGACTTTCAGAGATTGAGATCAATACTTGGAATGAAGAAGAAAAATCAAAATTAAGGGAGAGATTTGTAGAACCCATTTAAATAAATAAAATAAAGAAAAAGAGAAAGCTGGCAACAAGTTGCAACCAAAAAAAGCAAAACAAAAGTTGGCAACAAGTTGAAATGCAACAAGTTGATATGGACGATAACAAGATGGCAATTTGCAAATCTGCAAATTGCAACGAATGGATTTGATTGGCTCAGTTGGACGGCTCCTTTGCTTATAAATAGAGTCATTCGGTTTCATTTCATGTACACCAAATCGAGAGAAGCAACGGAGAGTTAGAGAGAGTAATCCACAGATTATAGTCTGTGAGATAAATAGTGAGTGGGAGTAATATTGTAGTGAGGTATTTAAAATAAAGAGTGTTATTTCTTTCAAAGTTGTAGTAGTCTCTTGACACTACTAAGTTGTGATATTATAGTGGTAATATTGCTCCGCTGGGGTATTGTATTTTATCCCGTTAAAATATTTGGTGTCGTTGTTACTCTCTTGTGTTATTGTTATTTACCGTAGATATTATTCCTGAGCGGGATTATTATTTTTCATCCCAACATTATCAACATCTAATTATTCCGGAATTTTGTTAATACACCCAACAATTTGCGCTATAACTATCATCAACTCCAAAATACCAATACCTAGTAAGCTAGAAGTAATGAAACTTGATGGTAAATGTCTTCGTATTGCAGAAATTAAAATTCTTTAGCGACATTTCAGTCCACACATTGGAAGCTAGCATCTCGGGATCATTCACACGGATAAATGCTTCATCACACCTAGGAATTGCATTCATATTAAACTTCTCTTTAGTCGGGGAGTGCACGACAATTTCAATGCTGAAACTAGGGGCCTACAAATCGAACCGGAAAATCGTACCAAATCGAAAAGTCAAACCAAATCGATTAAAAAATTCGATTAGGTTTGGTTTGATTTGGTTTGGTATTTATTAAAAAAAAACCCGAACCAAATCGATATATAAATATATAATTTTTATTTGTACTTTTAAGATTTTATATAGAATTTTCTTTAAAAAATGTCTAGAAATATTTGGGATTATCTTGCGGGATATAATATATAATAGTATATGAAGTGCTCCATATTTATTAACCTCAAATAATGGGTTGTATGATCACTTTCTCATCAAGTGTTACTGAAATGCGTCAATCTCTTTGTTTTTCCATATTCATATCATAAGTTAAAATCTATTAAATTGTTATATCTTTTTCGAATGTGAAGTGATTATTATTTTTTAGGTATCATATTGATTTTTATGTTTAGTTACTAAATTCGGTTAACCGTGAAAGTGTACATCAACGAACATTATTGTCAGACGACTAAAAAAATAACTATTATATGTGTTACTAAGAAATTCTCTCATAAAAATATTTTAATAGATAATATGTTTGTCAATTTTTATATTTTTACTAAACATATATTTATTTATCAAAAATTTAACAAAGTAAGATTGAAATAATATTAAAGTAACCAAAAACCCGAAAAACCCAACAAAACCAAACCAATCCAAACCGATATAGTTGGTTTGGTTTGGTTTTGATAAAAACAGAACCAACCTCGCCCATGTACACCCCTAGCTGAAACAAACCAATTACATTATTCAAAGATAATATATTTAAAGTTAAATTATTTTTAAAATAAAATAAAAATCATTATTTTTTTAACGAACTAGTTCTTAAAGAAAATCCTTTTTTCTTTTCATATAGTAACAATCTCTCATAAAATGACACAAAGAAAGTGTCATTATAAAATATAAAAAAAAATTCCATACTTGGAAGTTGAAAGTTAACTGGCCGTACGATCCACTTATATATGATGTCCATGGATAGGCACTAGACCGGAGAAGTACAAATAACCCTCAAAGTGGATGGTCCCGTTTGTTAAGTAAAAATAGCACGGGCTAGCCAGTTTTCGGACTGATCATTCAAAAATAGTCAGTATTTGCAAAGTTATTGAAAAATGCCATTATTTTGCTGCAACACGAAAAGTTCCAGCATAATATACTGGAGATTGGTGACCTATGTATTAACTTCCAGCATATTATGCTGGAACCCAACACGCGAAAAGTTCTAGTATATTATGCTGGACAGCTATATTATACTGGAACTCCAGTATATTATACTGAAAATATACTGGAATTTCAGTATACTTATGCTGGAACTACAGTATAATATACTGGAGTATTTCTTCGAATTTTAAATAGTTTTTCCTTTCAGATTTATCTTTACATGAAAAATGGCTAAATTTCGATTACTTTTGAAACTGTGGCTATTTTTGAATGACCACTTATAAATCTAGCTATTTTTTAATTTCTCTCCATTGTTAATGAGTATAGTTTCAAATTTAATAAGTGTTGTCCCTCGCTTGTCTTGTGAGCAACACTTTTAATTTTGAACATTAAAATTCTGCTCATGGAACAAGCAAAGGTCAAGAGTTAAAAAGACCACCCTAAAAAGGGTCATATTTGTGCAATTGTTTTGCACTAGATAGGCCTTGACCCAAAATAAAGCCCTCCATGATTTCCACAAATAAAGCCCTCTATCCATTATCAGAAATTTGTTCTCCCATTCCCTCCTTTGAAACCTTATCCATAAAAAAAAAAAAAAAAAAGAAATAGATATTCCTTGTTAAATTGCACACACTTTAATGGAATAAAAAAGACTTCAATTTTGCACCAAAATGAAGTGCATCAGCCTTCATTCTCCAATCTTACCTAAACATTCAAGCAGCAAATTCAAATGCCAGCACCGTAAATCAAAACCAGCAGCTCATTGCCTAGTGGAGCAGCAGCCGCAGTATTATAATGCTAAATTGTCTTGTTTTCCAAACAACCAACATACTGGCTTTCTAAAGGGACAAAAAAGGAGACTGTTAATTGCTCCGCTTAGGGCTGTAGATATACCTATTTCCTCCTCCTCCTTTTTCATAGCTGCGGCTAATTCACCGAGAGACTTGTCAGTTTTGCTACAGACAAGGTTTGTTTTAATTCATCTTTATCTTCCGATTTTGAAGTTTGAACTGCATACAACTCCTGATATTTTATTGAGATGGATTTAAGTTATACTATACAGTGAGAATATAGCAAATGTGATTTGTCGTTGCAATTTAACATACTGCGGTAGGTAATTCTCTACTTCCCATTTACCATGTCAGCATTCTGTTTTTTTTTTTTTTTTGGTTAACTGGATAATAATATATGTAAACAAAAAGGAGATTTAAGTAGCAGTATTACAAGCAGGGGTATTGCTTCCCCTCAAATTGTCTGGAAACGAACTAGCAGAAACGTAAGAAGTACTATTCGAAATTTCCCTTGAAAATGTAGTTCCTAGAATGTCTGCCCGCACTGGATCGTTTGCAAACACGGGAGGAACTAGCAAAAGTTTGATTTTATCAAAAAAGTTTCCTTGTAGCGGCTTCCTTAGCAAGTGCATCCGCTACTCTATTTTGTTCCCGGTAGCTATGCACTATGAGAGGGTGCCCAAGTTGGTGTATCAATGACCTGCATTCATGAATAATGGAACTATAAGTTCTGATTACCCCAGTTGAATCCGTGCAAAGTTCTAGTGGAAGTAAGGCAATTTCCACCGGAATCTTCAGCCCCTGCATTAGTGCAATTAATTCTGTCAAGGTGTCAGTGGTGTTAGGGATGCTTTTCTTGTAGCCTATTACCCAATTACCTTAGTGGTCACGGATTACCATTCCTATCCCTCCTACACTTGGATTGCCTAAGCAAGATCCATTGGTATTAAGCTTATAGAAGTCTTTTGGAGAATCCCATTTGACATAGATGATGGTTTTGTTAATAAGTCTTGAGCTGTAATTAGTTAGAAGACACAGTGCTCAGTAGTATTTATAACGCAGGTGTTGTTGTAGTTGTTGTTGTTGTTATCGAAGGTTATCATTTCTTGTTAACCATAAGTGGCACAAACCGAAGTGGATGATGTCTCTCCATAGGAGATTGTTGTTGTAACTGATATTTCCTAGCTTATTCCAATTGTTGTTCCAATCGTTTAAGGTGAACAAAGCTTGGACAATTAAGCTGGGATATAATGATTTGAGGATGACAGAAAGCCAGAACTTTTTTGCGTTGGGGCATTTGAAGAAGATATGCCCGATAGTTTCATCACTTGTGATGCTTGTGAACAGTTCTTTTTGTATGTTTAAAGCAATTGAGTGCAGGTAGGAATTGGTAGGCAGACATCCGTGAAGGAGTCGGAGGAAGAATTTAATTTTATTTGGTGTACTAAGTTTCCAGATACAAGAAAAATCTTTGGTTTGTGGTTCATCAGTGGGCTATAAGGTGATATGCAGAACTTGTGGAGAAGAGCCCATTAGCGTTCAGACCCCAAATAGGTTTACCCATGTGCTCAATATTTAAAGGAATATAAGCACTCTTGGATAGCATCATAGATCAATTCAGTGGGTAGGGTAAAAGATAGAGTATGAATATCCCATATGCCATTCTGAACAGGTTGCTAATCTTAATATTGATGCCAGTTAGGTTAAGAGGCCCATACATTTGAGATTGTAAGGACTAAGGACCAGAATGGGGAATCCACCTATCCTGCTAGAAGTTGACAATGTTGCCCTTGTGAATGACCCATCTCGCGTCTTCACTGCATGTTCACCAGCAGGGGCAGATGTATAGGTAATTTATGGGGCACGTGAACCCATGGTGTCTCCGCCAAACTAGGTATTTTTTGTATGTGTTTTCTAGAATTAGTCTAATCTTATCTGTTGGCACCCATGCTCCACAAAGGCTAAATGGTGCACTTGGTTGAATATTGAGTTTTTTAGCTAAAGGAACAAGGAGCAATTCCCACTTAGTACTTTTTTTCTCCTTTCTTTAGTGATGCACCATGTTTTAGAAATCCTAGATCCGCCTCTGTAAATCACGAGCCATTTAGAATACACTTAACATGACAATGTAAAAGCTTATATATTTAATTTGCACAAAACGAGGACTCCGTTTAAATTATAACTCCTTCCATCCAAAAAGTATTGTGAAATTGGAAATAGAGTGAAGCATCTAATTGAAGTGTGAATTCGAATAACTTCTAAGTTTAACAATTATTTGTATTTACAAGTTTTTCTATTTGAAAAATTCATATCGTTCGACTCCTCGAAGAATAATAACCTAATATGAAGATAGGATAATGGGAATACCAAATCTTTTACAAGCATTAGATTAGAGAAAAGAAAGTACAATGTGACTTCAGTTTTCCCCGGGATAATGCGTTTGCTTATAGTTTCCTTTCTGGAAAATTGTGACGACAGTGCAGTAATGCTCTTTATGTACTGGATTGCCAACTTTGTGGTGCCGGGGATCATCTTAAAGGATCTTCAAGATGACAGTACCACTAGGGATAAGAAGACTGATGGAAAAGATCTATAAGGATAAGCGAGAAGCAGAAGATCGTTACAACAAGAAACTGGATTTGCAGTGAGAAAATCAATCAGGGTGAAGCATCTGGGTACCCCATCCGCTGTTGTCAAAGATTCCTTTGAGGCGCCTTAAGTCCTGAGACTCAGTTAAAGCTGAATTGTGTTAACTGTATTGGTTAGTATTGTTATCTTTTAAATCAAAGTCTGAAGTATGTTTTATGAAGGAATCGTATCGTACAGTTTGGTAAAAGCAAGCTGAATGTTTGCTGATAAACTTATGATAAATTTTACCACTTAGTAAAATATGAATTACATAAAGGCGAACTGGTACTTCTTCCTGGCTATTAGCAAGGCAATCTTGAATTTCTGTTTGAAATAATGTACCCAGTCAAGACTGTTTTGGTTTACTTTTTCTAATGTTGGTCCCAGAATTATGTATCCTTAGCAAGACGTTTTCTGAACTTTATTAGGTTCCAATATCAACTGCACAGAAAAGAATTACACGGCTTGATGGTTATAACATATTATGCTGATATAATGTGTATGATGGCCCATATTTATTCATGGGATGCCTGTTCTATAATTGCCATGTTAGCAACAACAACAAAGAAGAGAGGGTAGGGTACTTGACTCTTATTATAATATCCTACCTCTGCAAATTCCATCAAATCTTTGTACTTGGAATGCTTTTAGCCTTCCATGTTGGGGTCATTGTTATTTTCAGATCGTAAGTTAGTTCCAAGGTACTGACTTGCTAGCAGACATTCCATGAACATCTCATGGGTCTCAAATCTTCTTGCTTGGCATTTAACCTGCAGAAAGTGCTAAAAACTAAGATGGAATGCATATGTGAGCGCGAAATTGCAAAATGTGATTCTTTTATATGATGAGATATTTACTACAGTGCTTGTGAGCTTCTTTGATATTGCAATTGTGATTCTCCATTCTTGAGCTATTCTGATATGCTGAAGTTTTCGCTCTTATTACTATGACTTGTATCCAATTTTGGATCGTTTGAATGAATACTTGGTGGAAGATGAGAAAGAAAATTGAATTAGCTCAATTGTAATGCTTTTTATTTACCGGATTGCCTACTTTGTGGTGTGGGGGATAATCTTAGTGGATATTCAAGATAACAGAGTACCACAAGAGATGAGAAGACTGATGAAAAAGAACTATGAAAATAAGCAAGAAACAAAAGATCTATCGTTTGTGCCAAAACAAAACAAAGGAAAAAAAGAAACTCTGCTAGACTCTCAACTCTTCCAGATTAAAGGGATTGACTGATTTTTCTGTTGAATATATTGGAATGTTTGAATATAACACCTCCTACTGAAATGATGCAACCATATCATTGAAGTGAAGGAGGAGGTCATCAACTGTCATGACTTGAATATCACGCTTGTCTCTCACTCTAACACTCACCTGCCCACTTTTGGCTTCTGCTTCTCCAACAACAAGAATATAGTTATATTTTGCTTCTTGAGCGTCTCGTACCTTTTTCTGGAGTGTGTTATCGCTTGTATCAACATCAACATAATAACCAGCATCATGTATCTGCTTCTGGAGCTCAAGCGCGTACGACTGAGATTTGTTGGAGACAGGGCAGACCATTGCTTGACGAGGACTAAGCCAGAAAGGCCATTTCCCCTCAAAATGCTCACAAAGAATAGCGAACATACGCTCAATTGACCCAAGTACAGCTCTATGTATCATAACTGGTGTCTCGTCACTTCCATCTTCTGCTTTGTATGAAAGTTCGAATCTTTGAGGAAGTTGGAAATCAAGCTGCAATGTTGCACACTGAAACTCTCTGTTCATTGCATCCGAAACAGTGATATCGATTTTCGGACCGTAAAACGCTCCATCTCCTTCCTTTCTCCCCCACGGCTTCCCGAACTCCTCCAATGCTTCCACAAGAGCACCTTCAGCTTTTTTCCAGGTTTCTTCATCTCCAATAGAGTTTTCAGGCCTTGTTGATAAATTCAGTTTAAAAGTTAAACCTAATATTTTATACACATAGCTCATGAAATCTAAGACATCCTTGACTTCATCCTTAACCTGTGACTCTCTGCAGAAGATGTGAGCATCATCCTGCTCAAATTTCCTAACGCGCGTTAAGCCGGTAAGTGAACCACTGATCTCATTCCTGTGAAGAACCCCAAAGTCAGCCAGACGAAGTGGTAACTTCCTGTAGGAACGACCACCATGGTTGAATATTAAACAATGTCCCGGGCAGTTCATTGTCTTCAGCGCGTATTCTTGTTTGTCAATCTCAAACACAAACATGTTGTCCTTTGAATTTTGCAGCATGACCAGAAGTTTCCCACAACTTCATCTTGTACATATTTGGAGTCCAAACCTCCTCGTACCCTCTCTTCCAATACTGACTCTTTATGAAATCCAGCAATTTGTTGCAAATTCGAGTACCATGTGGAAGAAAGAAACAACTTCGAGGACTTACTTCATCAAAAAAGAAAAGATGCTGCTTGTCACCCACCTTTCTGTGATCGTAATCCACTACTTCCATTACTTCCTCCGACTGTTTCTGATCCATAACCCGCACGTCCCAATTCAAAAAGTAATGGCTATTTAGAAGAAACCTAGCAAACAAGAACAATAAAGAGGTAGGAGGCAACCACAAGAAAAATAGGTACCTCTATTTATAATGGTGCAAAACCTTCTTTGAGTAGGAATTGGAAAAAACTATATTTAAATAAATTAGCATTAATTAGCATATATAAAATCCTAAACAATTTAGGTTTCCTGCTCATAATTTAATTCCTACGTGAACTTTTAGCCCAAATAGTGTGTGTATATATATATATATTAAAATTGTAATTGCAAATAACTAATACTATAACCCAAACATATTAACTTACCGATTTTAGTTGGATACGGCTATTCTTTATTTTAGGATTCTTTTAGCAATGAATATTACTTAGGTTGTAGTCTTTTCTTTGTATAGATTTAGGATTCACTTTAGGTCCTTCTACCACATATTAATGTTCTAAGGTGTGTTTGACTCAAAAGTTGTTTATCACTTTTTAAGCAAATCCATCAATATAGATGAAGGGTAAACCGTAATCGAAGATAATAATTCCTAGGATGATCTTGGCAATTGATTCAGACAACAATAATACAAATCAGAGAGAGAGAGAGTGATAATCTTCGAGAGATCAGAGAGAGAGAGAGATAATGTTAGAGAGATTGTCTTTCCAATAATGAAAAAATATCCTCCCCCCCCCCCCTTACAAGGCTCGGACCCCCCTTTATATAATAGAGGAGCCTTACTTAAATATTAAAAGACAGAAATAAAGTACATGCTACAGAGGGGCCGACGCGATCATGAAGTCGTCCCTCTTATTATTCCTATATCGTCCTTCTAGCCGGACTCACATATATTCGGTCGGTCGTGCTGGCTTAGGGATGTGGTCGGTCAAATTCGACCCCATACAGTTAGTCCCTCCGCTCGTCGGGGTCGCAGCGAATGCGTCCTCGATGGGCGGAATCGGTATCTCCGTTATGGGAGAGTTTGACTTTGTCAAAGAGTTGTGACGTGACAGGCAGGAGACAGTAATCATGACTGTCAGAGCGTCGAAGCGAAACGCCTTTCCCCGTGTGACGTTCATCATTGCGCGTATTCTCGAGGCAGGGAATCAGAAGCTTTTGGCGCCTGGTTTCCCGTGCCGATTCGACGTCTGCCTCTTCGATTCTGGCGTCACCCAACCCTATAAATAAGAGAAGGGTTTAACTTGATTCAAACTTTGGTCATTTGTAAGAGCATTCCAACCCTTCAGCGTATATTTTCACATTCTGGTGCATTTTTCTTCGATCGAAACTCTCCTTTTTCTTTGTTGGTTTGTGCACAACTTTTTCTTCACCGAGATCATGCCTAAACCTCGCCGAAGCGACGAGAGGGTCCCGGCGGCTGCCCCATTGAACGTGCTGCCACTTTCCGATGGTGGAGAGGTGGAGGGGGAAGAGGACGTCAGTCCTCGTACTGTGGAGGCATTATTGCCAAAGCATATCTCATCTCAAAGTGATTTCAGTAAGGACTCTCCCATTCCGGCTCCAGAGTTTTTCGAGTCGTTATAGAATCACTTGGATGACCTCCGCGTGAAATACGGCATACCCGCCCACGTAGAGATGGTTCCGGCGGGGAGGGATCACGTGGATGTTCACAGGCCAGGGTATTGTACCTTTTATGAATACCCCTTTTCGATTGGTTACAGCCTCCCTCTTTTCCCTTTGGCGGAGGAGTTCTATCGGTTCTATAACGTGTGTCCGGCTCAACTTACGTCGTATACTCTAAAGGTGCTTCGGCTGCTGACCACGTTTGCGGAGTTGGCCGGATGTGAAGTCACGATCCATCACCTCCTACAACTGTTCAGTGCTTGCTATCTAAGAGGGACCATGGTGCATTTGAGAGGCCGTGGTACGAAAGGATTGGTGGTCAAAACCGACGACCGAGCGAGTCGTGGGTTCTGGCGCAAATATTTTTTCATTAGGACCGAGCACGTGGTCTCTAACCCTACCGGAATCCCAGAGAGGTGGAATTCGAAACGTAAGTTTTTGTAGTTTGTCAAATTCCGTGTTACCCGTGACTGTCACAATTCTAACCTTTGAATTGCAGCTATGGCTCATCCGCCCCGGCCTGTTGCCAACCTTAGGGGGTGGGTTGCTGGCTTGCTTCCCTACGCGGAAGAGACCCACACTTGGCCTGCCTTCATGCAGCGTTATGGCCCCAAAGTCTCTTCAGGTAGATTTCCAATTTTTGCTTTGTAAATTCTGCAACCCTGCTCACTTATTTTTCTGGCGACAGGTCGAGGCGCTTCTAGGAAGAGGGCGCCAGTCCCCGCTATCAAGCGATCCGACGTTGCCTCGGACGCTCATGATATACTGATCGAGTCTGTTCGAGAGGATCTCCCTCCAGCTCCTTTACAGGGGGCTACATCTACGACCATGGTTATGTGGGAGTCGGCATCGCTGGCGCCGGCTTATAAACCCGTGGATGAACCCTCCGATGGCGAGGAGTCGTTAGAAAGAAAAGAAAACGGACGAGGCTCGAGAAGGGCAAGGGGGTGGCCACCGAAGTAGAAGGAAGTGAGGTGCCTCGGCCGACGCACAGACCATTCATGGCCGACGCCATTCTATCTGGGAGGTCGGCTCAACAGAGGAGTACCGTTCTCGGTGCTAGTTCCGCGTATGCCGTTGAGGGAGGGTCATCAACCAACATCGAAGGACCTGGCGAGGAAGCGGAGAAATCGGACTCTGACATCACTCAGAAGGATGTTGACGAGTTTGTGAGTGGCCTTACCCACGTGGAGATGACGACGGATGGGTCCGACCGTCGTATTACGATTCCAGCAGCTTACAACTTGTTGTTGAACAGCGAGCAGGCTGCTTCGGCCCTTACCCTGCTGTGTGCCGCCTCCGAGAGCAAGACGCTAAGTACTGTAGAGGATGCGGAGCTATCACGAAGGGTTTCCGGCATGGCTTTGCAGGTAATCCTTATTTCCTTTCTCCCTTTTGCGTGTTGTAAGACTGACTTGAGGCGTGCTTATTTCTGCTTTTCTTTTTAGACCCTTGTTTTGGAGGTGGAGAGGAGACGCCGTGAGCAAAAACGGACGGCCCTCTACAAAAAGATACTAGCAAAGTATCGAAAGTATCGTTCTAAGCACCGAGCGGTGGTTGAGCGGGGGCAGTCCCAGTTGGAACGCAGGGGAGCTGAGCTGGAGGAGGCGAATAGCGAGCTGATGAAGGCCGTGCCCCGTAACAGCGAGTTGGAGGAGCTTCTCAGGATGAAGGATGATGAGCTTGAGCTGAGTCGTGGGGTGGCGGCGGAGAACGTCGACCTGCAGCGGAGGGTGGCGGATCTAACCGCCAAGCTCGACGCCAGGATGGCGGAGAACAATGGACTTTCTCAGCCTTGCTCATCTCGTCCCTCGCCTGGTCGGAGTACGCATCGTAGTGCACATGAGATGTGGGTTATTGCGGAGGCTAAGCTCGACGTGTATAGAGAGCTTCATGCCACGGGCAGGGCGACGGAGGAGGATGTTCAGGCACGGCGAGACGAGGCTCGCGCTGCTCGTGAGGCTTGTGGTTATTACCCCGACTCTCCCGATGGGGAGGGGCCTGCTTCTGAAGACGTCAACCGGCTCGACTCTAGTTCCTGGTACAATGACATTTACCTCCCAGGGGGTGACAGGCAGTTATAAACTCGTACAATGTATATTTTTGGCTTGTATAGTGTATTGGAGCTCGTCCGCGGGGGCGAATGTAAATATATTTTTGTTGTAATATATAGATTTATTTTTGCTGTTCGTCCATTTGGTGCCTTCCCTTTCTTGGGTTTTCTTTTGTAAGCTTAGCCTCTGTAGAGGTTGTTCTTGTCGTTCGCCAAAGGTCGTGCCGTGGTTCGAGCGAGGTCGAGCCGATGTCGATGGACTTGGCCATTAGGATGTTGCTTTGACTGTCGTCGAAGTAGTATCCGTCGTGGTTCGAGCAAGGTCGAACCGATGTCGATGGCCTTGGCCATTAGGATGTTGCTCGACTGTCGTTGAAATAGTATCCGTCGTGTGGTTCGGACGAGGTCGAACTGATGTCGATAGCCTTGGCCATTAGGGCGTTGCTTCGACTGTCGTCGAAGTAGTATCTGTCGTGGTTCGGATGAGGTCGAACCGATGTCGATAGCCTTGGCCATTAGGGCGTTGCTTCGACTGTTGTCGAAGTAGTATTCGTCGTGGTTCGGGCGAGGTCGAACCGATGTCGATGGCCTTGGCCATTGGGATGTTCTTCGACTGTCGTCGAAGTAGTATCCGTCGTGGTTCGGGCGAGGTCGAACCGATGTTGATGGCCTTGGCCATTAGGATGTTGCTTCGACTGTTGTCGAAGTAGTATCCGTCGTGGTTCGGGCGAGGTCGAACCGATGTCGATGGCCTTGGCCATTAGGATGTTGCTTCGACTGTCGTCGAAGTAGTATCCGTCGTGGTTCGAGCGAGGTCGAACCGATGTCGATGGCCTTGGCCATTAGGATGTTGCTTCGACTGTCGTCGAAGTAGTATCCGTCGTGGTTCGAGCGAGGTCGAACCGATGTCGATGGCCTTGGCCATTAGGATGTTGCTTCGACTGTCGTCGAAGTAGTATCCGTCGTGGTTCGAGCGAGGTCGAACCGATGTCGATGGCCTTGGCCATTAGGATGTTGCTTCGACTGTCGTCGAAGTAGTATCCGTCGTGGATCGAGCGAGGTCGAACCGATGTCGATGGCCTTGGCCATTAGGATGTTGCTTCGATTGTCGTCGAAGTAGTATCCGTCGTGGAATGGGGATTAACTCTTGTTCGTGTAATGGAGATTAACCCTTGTTCGTGTAATGGAGATTAACCCTTGTTCGTGTAATGGAGATTAACTCTTGTTCGTTCAGTGGAGATTTCTGTTCATTTAATGGAGATTTCTGTTCATTCAATGAGATTTCTGTACATACAATGGAGATTTCTGTACATACAATGGAGACCTGTTCATACAATGGAGAATAACTAGTGTAGTCCCTTCACTAT